CTTCCTTCCTTCCTTCCTTCCTTCCTTCCTTCCTTCCTTCCTTCCTTTTTCTTTCCTTCACAAGCAATAGCACTTAGACTTATATGCCACTTCATAATCTTTACCGCCACCTCTAAGCGGTTTACAGAGTCAGCCTCTTGCCTCCAACAATCTGGGCCCTCGTGTTACCCACCTCGGAAGGTGTTGTGGTTAGCCGGCAGCAGGTGCAGATGGCTGAGGAGAGCGAGTGAGGACTCAGATGTGGGGCCAAGACCATTAGGGAGTGGACTGCTGTACCACAAATCACAAGGTTGTGTTTATGGAATGACCCAGGGTGGAAGACAAAATAAACACACACAAAAAACAGGTGAAGCCCCTTTTATTGCTTCACTTTGCTTCCAAGCTTCAAATATCCTTGAACTGAAGGCAAACCTCCCACACGAGCAGTTACATGAAAGAGGAAATTCTATTTAATTATAAAGAGCAAAAAGCAACACAAACCAGGCAAGATAAGGGCTAGAAAATGTCCACAGATATCAGAACACACACTAGGAGGGACGCCAAACTCAGAGAGGAACCATAAACTAGAGATATTTACACAATTTGTTTCCAGCGCTCACCAGTACGCAGGTCCAAACTCTTATCCAGTTGTCACAGCTGCAGCCCATGAAGAGGATCAAGGCCCTCTCCTCCCGAATTGACCATGTCTCTCCCTTTATCCTCTCCTCCCTGCATGTCCTAGGATGGAGAGGGGATGGGCCTGGGTCCTCCTCTGACTGCCCAGCTGGCCTCTGCCCTTCCGCAGCCTCCTCCACAGCCTCCGGAGCCACCCTTCTACTCCCTGTTGGCTGTTCCTCCTCTCCCTCAGAGTCAGCCTCCACCAGGGGCATGACAAAGTCCTTGATGAAGATGTTGAAGAGTACTGGGCCTAAAATAGAGCCTTGGGGTACTCTACTGCAATGGATTCATTAGAACTGACTTTTGGACCTGTGGAATAGCTCAGGGTTGAACTGTGGGGTCCTTGGTACCCTCTGAGCTTGGTGGTTTTCTTGCAGACGTTTCATCACTGAATTAGGTAACCTTGTCAATGCTAGAAGGGAGTGGGGTTTGCCCACATTTTATATGCCAACATGGACAGGGCAAATATAAAATAAGAGCAATCCCCACTTCCTACTAGTACTGATGATGTTACCTAGTTTGGTAATGAAATGTCTGCAAGAAAGCCACCAAGCTCAGAGAGTACCAAGGACCATACAAATAGAATAATATCATTTTAGCATAGATTCGATGGTAAGTCTAATCTCTTTTCTTGATAGAGGTGAATATTTCTAGCTTTGGGTTGAAATGAGGGGGTCCTTGGCGCTCTCTGATCTGAATTATTTTATTGGAAATGTTTCACAGTAATAGGTGCTTATTGTAAGTCTAATGCATACAGACCTCTTTTGTTTTTCTCAAACATGCTATACCACAGCTATGATGAAATAGTCTGCCCAAAATATAGATATCTGGTATTGTAATATTTATTTTTTTCAGGTACAATCGTATTTGGCATCTCTTGAAGGAGAGGAACTAGAAGCCGCAAAAAATGTGTTGATTTCTATTAAGGCAGTCTTCCTTTCGCAAGACTCAGAAAACCAGGACAAAGAAATTAAAAAAGGTAGTTGCTGAATGACAATTATTAAAGGAAGGATGGAGAAGTATGGCCCTTTTGTGACTTCTGCACTTCAGCTCCCAGAATTCCTGAGCCAGGAACCATGCTGGCTCAGGAATTATGGGAATTGAAGTCCACAAGTCATAAAAGGGCCTAGTTCCCCACTTCTTTATTCAAGGATCTAATTATTGATTCAAAACTATGGCGCATATGTTTTGTAAGATATAAGCAGCTGGATCCTTTAAAAGGTTCTGCTGAATCACTTTCTATTGAAATTACTGTTTTCTTAAATTTAATTGGACTTCTCCAGTCCTTTCTGTGTTTTGCCTTCTCTTTTCAATATGATGAAATTTGTGGATATTTTTTATTTGTTGTTTTCTTCTCACTGGGAAATGAAACATCCACATAGCAGCCTTATCTTCGTTGCTGAGTAAGAAGATGTATTTCAATTTCCGCCCGCATGCAACGGAATCAGACACCATCTCCAAGGTGGAAAGTAAACGGCTATCTTGGAAATTAGAAGTTATCCTCTTCTGTTAGGACAAAGAAGAGAACATTGCCCAGTGAAATTGTTAGAATGCAGAATAATAGAATCGGAAGGAACCTTGGAGATCATCTAGTCCAACCTCCAAAAATGCTATTTGTTTGCTAAAATATGACAGAGGAAGAAGGAGAAAAGGTTACATCTAATTAGAATCCTTTTGTTTAGGCACAGAAAGAATGTTTTTTCTCTTAATTTAACTTTTTTTCCTTGGTAATTGCCACAGAAGCAAGAGATGAATTTATCACAACGCTAACAGAATTGCTGTTTGAACTACACGTCGCTGCTACGCCTGATAAACTTAACAAGGTGGGGAAGGCTGTTTATTGGATCTTGGAAAATATTGCTTATTCAATAGCTCAGGGCAATGACCCTTGATAGAATATTAATTTAAAAAAAAACAAGAAATGGGGCAAGAGCAGGCAGCCTGGATATTATTACTATTTTTGTAAATTAGCAACTCTGAACACATCGAAGAAGGAGACAGAGAAGGAGGAAAATTGGTGAATGTGTTCGTAAATATTTCACAGTCAGGAAGTCTCACTTGGCAAAAATAAGACCTATTCACAGAGCAGTTCTTCACCATGTTGTCAAATGCCAATTCTGATGCGCCCAAAAGTCCATGGAATAATTTGGTCTATAATCCGCGACATGTAATTTTATGCTCCAAGTTACGCGGAGCCAAAGGAGTAGTGAAAACTGGCAAGATTAGGAATGGAAATATATGAGAAAGAAATCCATTAGAAATTCTGCAAATGCCATGGTATAATAGCTTGGAAACACAGTAACTTGGTTGGTTGGTTGGTTGGTTGTTGGTTGAGTTTTTGGGTTGTTGGTTGGGTGGTTGAATGTTTGGTTAGGTAGTTGGGTTGGTGGGTAGTTGTATGTTTGGGTGGTTGTGTGTTTGGGTGGTTGGGTTGTTGGTTGGGTGGTTGAGTGTTTGGTTGGGTAGTTGAGTTGGTAGATGGTTGTATGTTTGGGTGGTTGGGTTGTTGGTTGGGTGGTTGTGTGTTTGGGTTGTTGGTTGGGTGTTTGGTGATGGGGCAGTTGGGTAGTTGGGCAGTTGGGAGGTTAGTTGGGTGATTAGATGGTTAAACCAATGAACCAAAGAATCAATTAATGTAGCCACCTATCTCACATGTGACTCTGGAGTATTTTCTGCCAGGAAACTAAGACCTGCTTTCTGTTGGAATCCAGATGTACCATTCTGAAGCAGTGCATTCCCACACTACAATAATAACTATCTGCCACTTTTGATGTTGGTTATGTTGCAGGCCAGAAAGAAGGCTTACGTCGCCTTAGAAGCAGCAAATCTCTCCACATCTGGAGACCTGGAAGAGAACCCACCAGGCCAAACTAAAGAAGCGGTTGATGAAATTGTAGAAATGCAAGTAACCGAAGAAAAATCTCAGGTGGGAGAACCTGAAAAGACAGAAACAAAAAGAACCAAAACTGTAGAGGTGAGTGATGACCAGGTCTTCCTTGGTGACTTGAAGACTTGTGGGCTTCAACTCCCAGAATTCCCCAGCCGGCCAGGCAAATTATCTCTCCTTCTCCATGTTGGCTGTGGAATTCTGGGAGTTGAAGTCCACAGGTCTTACCGTTACCAAGGTTGGGCACCTCTAATTTACACAGGCCTTAGAGAAATTCTGGACTGTGGTAAAGAAGACAATGAGGCATGAAGGAGAGGCTATACCAGGTTACGGCAGGGCCAAGGTTTTCCTACGACAATCTTCTCTGCTTTCCAAACTCTGAAATTATTTCACAATTATTCCTCCAAAATAAATTTTATTTGTTTTCTGCTGGCAATAATAAGGTACTCACTCTTTTATTTTTGATATGGTGGGCGAAATTTCAGGAATTGCAATAAGTAAATAAATAAAATATCAAAATATCCAGCTTCACAACCCCAGAATTGGGTGTCAAAAAATCAAGATGGCGTCCATGGCCATAGAATCAAAATGTGCGCTCCCATTTTTTTAAACAATTATCACAATAAATGAAAAAAAGAGGTTGATCCCAAGGCCATGAACACCATCTTGATTTTTTTTGATAACCTCTTTAGATATCATGAAAAGTGGAATGTTTGAGATCCCTTCTTATTTTTTATTTTTTATTTTTTTGCACCTCCTGAAATTTTGTCCACCATGTCAAAACTGACTACCAACCCACCAGGCTTTTAACTCTTATCTACTGCTCTTATAATGTCTTGAAAACTTTTTAAACTTTATTTTAAAAGATTAATATCTAATAATGTTTTGCCTTTGGGGCAACACTTTGCAATGATATCAACTAGAACAATTCCATCAGAAGAAAACTTCTGCGTTCCTCACCCCAAACCATCTCAATCTGACTTCTGAAATTTCCATTCAATAGGTTAAGTTTAGGATATAAATTATGAGAGTAGTAATTTAGTAATAATAGGAACAGAATTTTCTCCTTATTACCTACAAAGTGAAATACTTCCTATTAGAAGGAACCGAGGTTCTAGCAATGTCTGCTTATTTTAACTCTTTAGCAAATGATATTTTCTGGACATTTCTCTCTTACATGTACAACATAACTTGATTTAGCATCTGCGCTATTTAGTAAAATTTACTGCCTTGTAAATATGCTCAGCATCTAGACTAATCAGCAAAATTTCCTTCTTTCAAGGAATTTTACATGTTGTCCATCGAAAGCCTGGCCGAAGTAACAGCCCGTTGCATTGAACAACTTCATAAATTAGCAGAATTAATTCTCCATGGACAAGAAGTTGAAAAGCCAACCTTGGACCAAGCGCGAGGCCTAACAAAGTGAATATATTTTCATTTGCTGTTCTTTCTGTGCAAAGGTTACTGTTCATTCATTCATTCATCATAATATTTTCAATTTTTTCGGGATAGTATTGTCACACAGTCACACAGGTTTTGCTTGGTGGTGAGGCTTTATAATATTGGGCTGCCCCAAGGAACCTCTACAGGTGTCACTGCATCTGTGGCATTACAGGTAATTGTAGTTCAGCAACTGCTTTGTTCAGTGACTGCCGGCAGTCACAACAGTGATGCAAAGCAATTTTGCAACCAATCTTGACACCTAGATCCTTTGCAGATCTGTTAAAGAAAGCTAAAGTAAGATCACAAGCACACTCACAGTTTCATTTAGCGACTGCTTTACTGAATGACGAAGTTGCTGGTCTCAACTGCAGTTGCTAAATGAGTACTTGTAGATGGAGTCCAATGACTTTCCTTTTAAAAAAAAATCCTAATTTTAAAAATGGCTAAAATTGTGTAAAGTAGCCAAGCCTTTCCAAGATTTCTATGATCACCCATTACCTCTTTAAGTGATGTTTTAACTTAATGTTTGCAATGTTTGAAAATGTCCCATTATTTAGATTATTTTGGGGAAAAAGCAATGAATCAAAAAGCAAAGCTGAGTTCCACTGGAAAAAAAATTGCTGTTGTGTATGTTATGTGTCACATGATGACCGATTAAAGTGGAATGTTTATGTAAATTTATGTAAATCTCTATATATAAAAACAAAATTCCACTCATGCATCATCACAGAACTGTAAAGCCTACAAACTTGAAATCTGGCACATATGTTCCTCTTGGCTTCTAGGTTCTCACTAAGAAAGGATTTTTCAAAATGACCATCAGAGTATTAGTATTTCTATAGTATTATTAATATGCTCTGATGCTAAGGAGTTCTACTCCCCCTCCCCACCTGAAAAGAAATCTGTTCCAACAAGCAGAGGAGAGGAGTTTTGGTTTCAGTTTCACAGCACCAAGCAGCTTTAATACAGAACAGTTGAGCTAAGCCACGCCCAGGCTCCTTGCTGGCTCCTTCTTGCTCACACAGCAAATACTCTTTCAGTTTCCAAACAGCCCTCAACTGTCTCACACACTGACAAGGACACTAGCCAGATGAATACCGATGGATGCTGGTAGGCAGAGGCACAATTTCTCCCCCCTTATTTTCCTCTCCAAAAACTAAGCCTGACCTCATAGTTTTGTAGTGAAGCACGGGTATCGAGCTAGTATGTTATATCCATGAGCAAATATAACAGTACAGGGGCAATCCTGCATGCATTATGTAGGACAGATGGGGAGGAAGCTAAACCCACACTGCAAAAAAACAACAAGAAGTGGTCAGACTAAGATTGTTGGACGAGCAGGTACAAAAACAGCCAGGGAAGTGATTGAAGCCTGGGAAACAGGCCCTTTCGTCAGCCAATAGGAGTACTGACTTCTCACTAGTAATCAAGTACTTAGAAGGCAACGGCTTGGCAGCCCAAGCAGTGGTGGGATTCAAAAAAGTTTACTACCAGTTCTGTGGGCGTGGCTTGGTGGGCATGGCATAGCTTGGTGGGGAGGGCAGGGGAAGGATATTGCAAAATCTCCATTCCCTCCCCACCCCACTAACCTGCTTTCCAGCTCTATTCTCCTGTGCAGGGCAACCAAAGAGGACCCAGCCGATCAGCTGGGACTCAGGAGGCAGAGAAGAGATGGGGGTGGGGCCAGTCAGAGGTGGTATTGGCTGGTTCTACAAACGACTCAAAATTTCCACTACTGGTTCTCCAGAACTGGTCAGAACCGGCTGAATATCCACCTCTGAGCCCAAGGAAACAACAGCCGACGATTTAATAGCCATCCATCAGCACACCCTGATCAATATCTAAAAAGCCACATACAAAAGCCATATAAATACCACACATGGAACAGCAAACACTCTGCTAGAGAGAAATTTCCTGAGGATTCGTTTCCAGCACAAGTCCGAAAACTTGGAAGATTAAATCTTTGGTCCCAATGACTGACCCAGATTGGATATTCCTATTCTTTGTCTAAAGTAGTAATAATGAATGGGTAATCATCTAGATTGCAGTTTGCTCTGAAATATTCAAGAATATGCTGATTACAATGGACAAACACTCATATTCCCATTATGTTTTCCACAGCTTAACAAATATGATGTGCAATGAAGTGTCATCCCTCTCAAAACAATTTTCCAATGTTTTGACTTTGGTTGCGGTAAGTCATTATACAATTTCATTTCTTTTATTACTTCATGTGTTATTCTTTAACTAAGCCAGAGAGTGAGGGAGCAAATAGGGGCATTTAAATGGTATCTCTCTAATCAGCATCCAATGCACATAACCTATTTCTCACAGAACCACAAGCCAAAAAAAGTGATCATCTATTCTTAGATAGATAGATAGATAGATAGATAGATAGATAGATAGATAGATAG